AGATAACCCACTCATGTAGGCTTTACTTCTACATAAAGAAGTGGATAAAAGCATGCAAAGCATCTGAATCGTTTTTTTTAGCATGTGGATCCTGTAGATGATACTCACATAATTTGATTTAGGCTGCTGTATACATCTTTCAAACATGCTTTGTGTCTGCTGCTCCTTGTGTTTGAGTTACAACCCTACCAATGTGAGTAAGGCAGTAACTCTGTATTATGGAGACCAAGTTTATTTTAATATACCAATTCAGGACCTCAGCTTCTACTCTTTTAAAACTGTAAATACCCAATACAAAAATGTTATTTTTACGTTAACATTTTAATAAGTCTTATGTTGACTTTGCACATTATTTAATTATTATTAAAAATAATCAGAAATCTTGCATATTGAATATTCATAATTGTTTTCTTCATGCTCAGCAAAGAAGTTACTTTTTCTCCAAACCCATTTCTGAAATGTTAAAGGCTGTTTAAGGAATTTAAGGCTTTGGGAATTATCTAGTCTTAAATAAATCACATTTTTTTGGCCCAAAGTCATCCAGTTTGTGTTCTGAAAGGTCTTTTAGAAGAGATTGTCAGATTTTTCTGCTGCTGCTGCTTTCTGAGGAGGACTTTAGGCTAAGAAGATACAGCAAAAAACATCTCCGGTGCAGCCTTTCTGTTCTGTTAAAAAGTTCTTTCCAAAAAACATAGTGGGCACCATGTGCCAAAGGGCCCCATTTTAGCAGGAAACTTTTCCAAAGTTTTCCCTTCAGTGCATAAAAATATAAAATAGCTACAGGAATTTATATGAGAAAGACTGTAACAAATAACCAGATCTTTGTTATTTCTGTTGATACAGAAAATAAAGAGAATTTAAAATACTATGAAGATCTTACCTGCTGTGAATTTTTTAATATTTCTTTTTAATGTGTTTTTCCATACATTTGACAGCTGAGTTTTTATACAGTTTTTTATATATGAGCTGTTATTATTTATGAGTCTTTATGGAAGAAAGTTTGACCTTAAGTGTACTAGACATTTGCTAATACAATTGTTAAATAGCATTAAGGTGCTGGGGAGTGGCTAAGAAAAACAAAAGCCAATGAGAGCTTGCAATTTTCTTTTTTTTTGAACACAAAAAACTTTCAAAATGTTGCACCAAGTGTCCCTCTGCACATTCCAGGAACACACTACTGTGTGCAAGATGTAACCTGCTCTGAATTGGTTTCCTTCTGCAGACTACTTAGTTAACATAAACCAGCTAGAGTTAACATTTTAGGTTTAGCTGCTCTTCCTGCCACTGCGTTGACTGCTTGGGATTTACATTTTATTCATGATGCCTTGAGAAGGTAGATTAATTTGGTGGTGTATGCAGAGCTATTCATCCTATCAGGTTGTACCATCAGTTTGATTCCTGCAGGAAGTTGGGATCAGGAGGAGGACAGGCACTGAGTTGTTAGTATTTGTTTTCAGTGGTGACTGGTGGGTGGTGTCCATGTCTTTCAAGACCATGCTGATGGCCACTTTTCTGCACTTTTCTGCAGAGAAAGGATACTGAATTCCTCTGCTCCTCTGGAGTCCTGCTGGATCAAGGCCAAGGGCAACAGGCAGAAGTGCTGCCTTGTGCTGTGTTTTTTAAAGGAGATGCAGAGAACTCTCATTGCTCATAATCCTCAGTTCTTTGCCAAATCTTCCTTTAACTCCTCTACAGTTTTCCATTTCTTTGTAGAATCTCTTTCTACTAGGCAGGAGTGGCTTTGAACGAGTTCACATTGGAAAATACAAAACAACAGTTGGAAGCCAAGCTGTGCCTCTGCCTTGTCCCTTTCAGGAACTGGCACCAGAGATCTTCCTAACTTACCAAATTCTTTAAACTGAAATACTAAAGGAATTTTTGTGGTTTTCTAAAGTATTTACCATCCTAGCTTTTTTCCAGATATCAAATAATATTAAGCTCTGAGATCCACACTTTTGATGACTAGCACTTTGGCCAGAAGTTGCCAATTTTGTAATTAAAAATTAAAAGCTGCAGATTTTCGCAGAAACAAATTATTGCTAGACCCCAGCATATACAGAGTGCTACACAGCATGAGATCAGGGGCTATGATAGAACATAGGCTTGAGGCTTAAGTTGTAGTAAGTATTTCCTTTGGGTTTGAGACTCGGTAATATTTAGAACATTTTTCAGTAGATTCTCAAAGCTATTATTTTGCCATAATTGCATTCTAGGACCTTATTTTAAAATAATATTAAATAAGTTACTCCGTTAATAAAAATTATTTTAAAAAATAAATGCAATTGCCAAAAAGCTATGCCAGGAGTGTATTTTAATATAAGGCCTTATATATTAGCTGGTAGGAAATGATAACATTCTTCTCTGGAAAACTCACGTGCTACAGAGATGATAACTCCTCACACAGGTTGTCTCAAAGTGCATTGGAGGGATAATCACTGTGCAGGCACCAGCAACTCCCCCGGTCAACATCTTCATGGCACCAGAATAAATTTTCCTTTGTGCTGTTTTTAACTAAAAAGTGAACTGTATCTAAGCATTAATACCTGTTCAGTCTACATTTTAGCAACTTCAATAGCTTCTCAATTATTTTTTTTTAGCTTGTTTCTCTGTTTTTCAAGCCATGGTCAGTGTCCATGTTTATTCTGTAGCTGTAACTGCTGGTTTCATTGCTACTGACTCATGAAAGAAATGGTGCTGCCTGCAACAATTGTTACTTTTCTTGATGAACTTCTTTTTTGTAACTTCTGAGTTTATTTTTTTAAATAGATTTTTACTTCATAAAATGCTTTTTTGCCTTTCTCCTACTCCCTCCTTGAATATTTTTGTAATTTCAAAATAAAAGGACTAGAAGGGTGCTCTCTGCCCTCCCTCTCTGAGAAGCAGCATTCCTCTATTTCCACTGTTGGTTGGAGATCACAGTAATCCAATCCTGTGGAAAGCCCTTTTCCCTGGAGGGACATCTGTCTCTTTGATGGACTCCACAGGCAATTTTTTTGGCAGCTCTGGAGATGCCACTGAGAGATCTGGCACACTTCTGTTTAGATGAAAGTAAGAAAATCCCTTGCAAGTGATGTACAGAATAAGATGCTTGTTATTGCACCAAGTTTTTTTGGTTCTGTTCACTTCTAACAGTAAAAAATATTTTGGGACTGAGTTATTGGTTGACTAAATACAAAATAGACTTTAAAAAAGATTTAACAAGCCAGCACCTTTGATTAGTATAACTAGTACTGTAGGAGTCTCTTTAGTTTTGTTCCTTCTAGCCTAATTCCTTACAGCACTTCTTCACCTCCAGTTAAATATTTCGTTTTTCCATGAAACTTGAGTGCTTTTCTTCTGTGGTGTGTTGAAGACCGTTAAACACTTTTAATGCACAAATCTCAGGAATTCAGCTCAATTGTCCACTGTCTTTTTTGCTTCCAGGAGTGAAACCTTGAACTCACATGAGTCATTTTGCTGTGGAAGATCACCACTGACTTCTGTGAGGCCAACATTTCACTTACCTGTTCCCACCTTGAAAGGAAAACATCAAAACCCATTATTTACCTGAAGAGTTTATATGTTCAGACTTTACAGATGCTGTTTTACCCTTACCAGATGTGTCTATGTTGCTGTTTCCGATACAGCAGAATTTGTTCAGCTTTTTTGATGTCTTCTTTGTGTGTGGTTGTTTTGAAAAATACACTTATGGCTTTGAAATACTTACTTGCCACCCTCACCCAAACTGCAGCCAAAGACAAATTCTGTCTGAGAAGAGTTTTTTTTAGTACTTCAGGTGCCTTGAATAAGCCCAATGCTGTGCTTGTCAGGCTTATCCATTTTTAGCCATTTTATTGGATACAATAGATATATATTGATTAAAATTATCACAATTTTGAATATTTTCAATATCTTTGAGAAGAAATTGCTTGGAGCACTTGACATTTTAATGCAGCTTGTCTTTTCAAATAGATTTGGCTTCTAATGCATGTGACAACGGGACTTTGCTCTTCAGTTAGAGCATACATTTCAGAGTAGTTGTTACCTAAAATATTATCATAAGGCATAAGAAAACACACGATTTAAGTTGCCTTTCATGAACATAATTAAGAATTAATAAGCCTGTACCAGTGGCTAGTCCTCAGAATTTCCACTGTTTTGCCTTTTGTGACCCGTGTTATTAAAAGTCCATTATTTTTACAGACTTTATTAAATTGGATCTTATTAAAGCATTCTATATTTGCATTTGGTCTTTCATAATTCATTATTATTATGACATTTACTTTTTACCATCAGATCTGAAAACATATCATAAGCTACCCTTTTCTCTTGAAAGAAATGCTAATTTCAAACAGTCCTTTAATGGAAGAGAAAAGCTTTATCAGTTTTTTCATTTATTCAAGATCGTGTTAAGAATACTAATGTTAGACTTCTGTATGCTAATATCTAAGAGCTTTTTTTGGTCAAAAGCTTAGAATTATTTTTTTTTAGACCACACTGCTAAGTATGTCACTGTCAGGGCACAAGTACAAAAGAAAATACAATTCTGAAGTCCCATGTTTTAATTCTGTGACTGATAAAACCAATTTCTTCATCTTTCATTACTAAATTATGCTTTTGTATGAAATTTACTATTTTTATACTTCACCATGTTTATTAGATTTCTGCTCTACTTAGTTTCTCTTTAGAAGTTTTAAACAATTGATTCAGCATGATTATTTTGGGGTGTAGTTTTGAATTATAGTCTTCACAAAGTGTAATGGGAAATGGAATTCTCCATGAAATAAATCACTGTCTCAAGCAGTTGTTAATTGTTTTAATTTAGACAACCTAGGCCCTATCATGTTTGAAAATATTATAATAATTTAGTCATAAAAAGAGATAAAGAGCTCTAGAACTGAATGCAGAACATGTTAAACAGTAGGTAACATGTAGTTAAACTGCTGAATTTTTTTAAATAATTATTTTTTTAAACTTCAAGAAATCCTCTACAATGTTAACTATTTTGTTTCCCCCACAAGGTTTCTGACGATGTGCACTAGACATTTTGGGAGTGTTGTAGCCCAAACAATTCGAACTCAGAAGACAGACCAGTTTCCACTTTTCCTTATTATTATGGGAAAACGATCATCTAATGAAGTGTTGAATGTAATACAAGGTACAGTTCTTTATATTACAATTATTCCTTATGTGAGTATTGAAACTGTTATAAGAGGTCTTTGCTAACTGTTTCTTTTTCAGATGTCCAAAATATTAATTTTTTACACAAAACATACTTGAAGTTGCCAGGGTATAATTATCTACTACTCATAAATGTATTAATTAGCATTGTGTTAGAGGTTGGAGTTGCCATGACTGTAGTAGAATTTCAGTTTACGTTTTTCTTTTTTCTTTTTTAAGTGGAAGCTTAATTTCCTAAATAAGGAGCTACGCTTAGTTTTCCAGATTTATATCCAGATACATTCTTGATTTCTAAAGGATCTTGGCTTTTTGCACAGTGCCAGAATGCATTTGGTTCTTTGTGTGTAGCTCCTTGTTAATACCTGGGCTCCTGTTGCTAATGTTTGGACCTGAGTTGTTTTTTCAGACCTGCTGCATTGAGACCCCCCACATCAGATCAGGATTTAAGTTCCTAATATAATCTCACATAAATGAAGCCTTCTGGCTTACTTGAGCAGTTCTTTCTGGTGTAACCATTCCTCTGATTTCACTGACAGCAAGATGACTTAGATGTGGAGTGTTGCCCTCTGACTGCTGTTCTCAGTAACTCTTCAAATTAGAGCACATCAAAGAATGGCTGCCTCTCATTTCTTCTGCTTTCTCCACATGTTTGTTTTTATGACACTGTGTCCTCATTTTTTTATTGCTTGTATCTAGCAATCTTTATTGTAATCTCATTTTCCTGAGGATATTCATCCTCAGGAAATGCTGCCTTTTGCAGACAAGCATTAGTGTTTCTTTCTGCATCTTGGATTATTAATTTTCTTGAGGAATTTGCCGTGTTCCTTCCTGAGGACAAAATAGTTAATTTTTACACTGACTTTGTCTCCTCAATGCAAGGTACAGCACAACACTAATTCATTATTTGAATGCCTGTAATTTATAAAACTGGTTTCATAGGTTATTTCATAGAAAGTCTTATAAATTGCTTGGTTTTCTGGCTGCAGTACAGTTCAGAACTTTTGCCATCCCAATGAAGTCAGTGGAGCTACTGACTTAAATAACTGCTTTAGCAACAATTCAAAGTCATAATACAATACAGCTTTATATTAAAAAAAATCCAGATTATTTAATTACATGCATTAAGTTTTAATGATTTGTCAGGTTTTCTGCAATCTTTTGCACTAAACTAAAACGATCACCTATTGTAGCCTTAGTTAAAGTTATCCTTTAACAAAAATCACACAATCTCTGGTTGTTATTTTCCCAGGAAAGGGGACACTGGTATCTTTTAACAATACTGCCTCAATGAATGGTAGTCTCTGAAGTCCTGCGTGTTGTAGCATGTGGGATAACATTTTCTGCTAAGGTAGCAAATGTTAGAAATGGGAACAATGAGGGCCTTTCAGGGCTGGGCAAGAAGGCATGTTGACAGAAGAGATACAACTATATAGAAACCTAAGACCCCAGTGGCATTTATTGAAATGCAGACTGTCTAAGTTTACTTTTGATTTTTATTTTTTTTTCCTGGGGTTGGAAACTATGGGGACAGTCTTGTTTTCTTTAGTGGTACTTGTTCTGCTGGGGTCCAACAGCTGTTTAGGCTGGCAGATGTTAAGACTTTATAGATTTTGATCATTTCTTGTGGTTTAAGACCTTTTAACTACTACAACAAGTAGCTTTAATGGGTATTCTAGTCTTTACTAAGAATTATAAGTCTATACTATGAATGCATCTTAGTAGGAAATTAAAGTAATCTTTCAATCTTTATGAAGACTGGAGGCATGCTGGAAGGAAAACACAGGGAGGTGTCTGTTTTCCTCTCTATGTGTTCTATTTCATGATACACACATGGATGACATGATTTTCCACCTCATTAGCATTGCACGTAAATAGACTGAAGAAAATACAGTATTTTAAATTTTATTACCTGTTATACTCAAAATGTGCACACACATCCGTTCAATCATTGTATTCTGCGTTTTTCCATTGTTTTAAACCAATCCACTTGGATGCCGCTGCCAACATCCCACCTTTTTGTTGACTAAGCAGTTGCTTTGGTCTCCCTGGGAATTCTAAAACTGTAAAATCAATTTCACATTAGGGAATCCCAGATCTACTGCTTTCCTTTAACATTAGTGACTAAAAGACAAAGTAGAGTTGATTTATGCAAGCATAAAAGCAGTTGTTGCGATTTGCACCACCTGAAATTTTAACCTGTGATCAACCTTTGTAAAAATAATTTTGAGTTTTCAGTAAAAAGGTGAACTGAAAGCATTTTACTGAGATACTTGCATTTTCTACTCTTGCCTTTTTTTTTTTTTTTTAAGTCTGGCTATTTCTTATGGATTAATTCTAAAATGACTTCTTTTTTGTTTAATAACTTCAATGAAATGAAGTTCACCTATCTTCCTTTGTTGCTAGGTAACACAACAGTGGATGAGCTAATGATGAGGCTGATGGCTGCGATGGAGATCTTCAGTGCTCAGCAGCAGGAAGACATAAAGGATGAGGTGAGCACTGAAAGTTGCTGCAGATACCTCCTGGCTTCCACTAATCACCAGGGATGTAAATTAACCAGATGTTTCTTTAGTCAGTGGAGTTGGGTATGATGTGTTTTCATGTCTCTTCCATTGACAGAAATGAAAAAGGTAAAGTCTCCTTTGTGTATTTGGATCTCTCAGAACAACTCCTCCTTTTTGGTCTTTTCATTTTCAGGTTATTTCCTTTTTCTGGACATTAGTTCACCAGTGACTGTTTACATTATAGTGATATTATAGAGCTTAATATGCTCATACAAGGAAGATTATCAGATTTTTTTGCCACTGTCCAGCTCCAAGTCATAGATAGAAAACAAAAGTAGATTAATATATCTTAAATGTGTCTGTTTAAAAGAGGGCTGAAACCAACTTTAACCAGTACACCAGTACTGAACCACCATTCATAATGATGCAGAATGCATAAATGAAGACTTCTCAAAACCAGTGTTTCACTTACACAGAAGCAGACACAGTGAGTTACGCAGCTGAACGATATTTATCTGCTACTCTATGAATTGAGTGACATTTTGAAGTAATTAAGTACTTAGGAATTTATAATAGTAGGTGTGTTGCCATTCAAGATTATTCTTATTCTGTTGTATAGACATTGATTGACAATAATTCACTTAACACATTCTTCACATTTAAATCTTGTATCTCATTAGTACAAGATTTACTGACTATAATATGAAGGCACATTATCTGCACAATATCTGTCATTCACTTTTTTTTCTTTATTTATGCTACCTGTAATTCATTGGTAAAGAAATTGACTTAAATTTTGTTAATACTTAACACAAATTTAAATATGAGGATTACAACAAAAATCCAAGGCACGGTATAACTGAATTTTTTATTGCATTTTAACAGGAGTGTGTTGAGTATGGAAGTTTTTTCAATGCTTTTGTAAGAAGGTGAAATTTACATCACAGATGAGCTCCAAGAGAGGTTCAAAATTAAAAACTGTTAACAAGGTAGAAAACTGAGGGATACAGCATACAAAGCATACAAAGCAGCATAAAAACTGAGGGATACAGCATAAAAGCATACAAAGTCAGAGAGATAAGAGCAAACAAGGGAAAGAAGAAGAAACTAGAAGTGATAGGATAGGGACAGAGGAACAGGACACCAGACTGGACACAGAACCAGGAACTGGCTCCTGTCCTGAGCTGCTCTTCGTCCTTCACTGGATGGCCAAGAGCAGTGACAGTGACAGTCCAGTCCCCACATGGGATTGTTGTCTCCTGGCTTCTTCCCCTGAGTGCTCGACCAGTCTAGGGAGAATGGAAAATGGATTTTTATACATTTCTCCAAAATTTACCTTTGTCCAAGTCTTCTGTAGTCTTTGTTCTTCTGTCACTGAAAGCACCGGTGACATTTCTTCCCCAACAGGAGCTTTTTCTAACACACTTTGACATTCAGAAAACGGATGGAAAATTTCATAAACTTTGGGGGCAGCTTTCCAGACACTATGGGTTCTATACACAAATAGGATATTTACTTACACCTTGGCTCCACTCAGTGTTACAAGCACACTGCAAAGGTGATCTTAGACACTTTTGCCTTTGAAGCAGGAAGTTTTCAAAACAAAAAATAACCTTGCTTTATGAAATTACTATTCCAGAGAGGGAGTATTTGACAAGCAGTCTGTACTCAATAGAGGGCTTCAGCCTGAAAACAATGTACTGCCTTTTTGTGGTTAGCTACGTAACATGTAGCTTTCTTGTAAGCCTTGTACTTGACAACTTCAAGTGTTCAAACATCAACACCTTTTCTTTTTTAAGGTCTTACTGCAGTTGGTGCAATTTTTTCCCAAATATTACAATAGCAAACAGGATACAGAGTCCGGTTTCTGTTACTGTTTTCTTAATAGCAAGTCATAATAAGTCATCATAAAACCACAAGAAGATAAGCAGAAAATTCTTTTGTGCTTTAAAAAGAGCAGTCATCAGTGTAGCGTTGCTGTGAACAGAAGTGTGTGTGAGAGAGAACCAGAACTGGAAACATTTGTAAATGACAGCATGAAGTCAGTAATGAGTGAGTTTATGCAGCTGAAATTCTCATGCACATGAAAGCTTCCAGCAAAGCCATTGCATAATCCTGTTTGGCACAGCGTGTTTTGCAGTGCCCTCTGATGGTTATTTGGGTTCAGGAGTACTGGTACCACTCCAGCTGCTGCTCCAGGTGTTCAGCTGATGTTGGCTGTAGCTACAGGCAGCTCCCTGTCACTGAGCATCTGCTGGGGGTGTAGTTGGGATGCTCAGAACAGCTTTACCAAATTACCTCACCTAAGTGAGCCACCTCAGTAGCTGGTGGTAATAATAGCAAGTTTAGCTAAATTCTGTGCTTTTGTATCTAGGTATTGGTAAAATTTACCAGTTCAGCCTCATAACATTTTAATGGGGCAAATCTCTTGCATATTTTTTTAGTGTCAAGTGCTAAAATACCGTACTAACTAGCAGTTGGATTTAATTTTTAGATTTGTGTGTTGTACTCCATTAAGCTTTTTCTTACATAATCTCCAAATAAATACCTTAAAACCACTGGGATGCACATGTGTACTCATAGTAACCCTACATGCCTGTCCTGGTGTATAACTTCTGCACCTGTTTTCTCTCCCAGGTTTTCTTAAAGGGAGATCAACCTGCTGTCCCACTCTTTTTGCTTCTCCAGGGTTCTGAGTCAATCACAAGCTGTTGCTGTGTTGACCAGATGATATTTTGGAAACCTCCTGCCTCTTTTGGACCGTGCTGTTGATGTGCCATTGTACATACACAGTCTAGGTGTCCTGCTGTCTGTTTTTATAATTTCACTCCTAAAACTGCTGTAAGAACAAGCCACAAATAGCAAAATTGGATTAGCAGAACACTGATGTGCTCACACGGCTCTTCTGGTAAGAAGTGGCCAATGGATGATTCAGTTGTGTGTTCAGTGACCATCAGCAGTGAAGCCACTTGGCCAGGATACAGTCCTTCCCACCTTTCCCAGTGCAGTCAGGTCTGGGGGCTGAAGTCTGGCCTCATGCTGTGTATGCAGAGTTATTCTGCAGCTGCACTAACGATTTCATACATCTGATGGACATATTTTCTTTTTCTAACCATGTTTGCTTTCCTGCTCACCAGTACAGGACACTTCAACTACTGCTCAGGCAGTGGGGCTGGGGGGATTCTCAGAGAGGGAATAGATGTCATTAAGGGGTTTCTTCTGTAATCAAGAAAGAGTATCTCAGAGCAGGGATAAGCAGCCTCTGCCACTCTTGATCAAGGTGTGCACTGAGATTTTTCGGGTGCTGACTTTGTAAAGAGTGTGTAGTATCAGTTCCTCTTAAGTGTCAATGCCTGGTGCTGGCATTAGGAAAACAAATAATAGTTGTAAAATATTCTACGCCCTGGAATGACCATTTTTAAACACCCTGGGAGTTTGCTTGTTTTAACTGGATAGTTAAATAATCATCTCAGTGTGGCGTGATGAGCCCAAATAGATCCAAGTTAGTTCCTTTGTGAGATTAATATGAAGAGATCTGTGATTAAATCCTGGCCTTACAGCACAACACACCTGTTCTGGGCCGATCCTCAACATTTTTTCTTCATTGCCTGAGGAGGAGGCTTCTCAAAGGATTACAGTAACACTTTTTGACAAGCTTATACAGGGCGGAGTTTCCATGTAATGACAGGGCTCATTTGATGATGCCTCAGTAATGCATTTTTTATTTTTGCTGTCAACATTTATTACTGTAGAAGCATTGACTGTTACACAGCTGGTCCAACTTGTCCACATTTAAGTAACAGTAGGTCTCTGCTCGTGTTTATTTTTGTTGTTATGCAATACTGGCACTCCCGCTCTCGGATTAGACTTCAAGGTGGAATTGTAATAACCCACAGTTGCTTCAGAGACCTTCTTACTTTTTCAAATACCAATTAAAACCTTTGATTCACTTTAAACTGTGTCTGCCAGTGCACTGGTCTGTAGTGTGAAAGAGAGACACTTAAGAATTTTTAAACTGGTAAAGCTGCAGTAAACAGACTCTGACTGAAGATAAGCTGTAGAAAACTGTAGGCCTGTAGAGTCACCATCTTTCCTCTCTGTTCTTGGGTGACATCTCTTTCCTAGATACTTCTAGAGCTTGAAGAAAACATAGGTCCTTCTTCGGCAGTATCTAGATGGGGATTTAAAAAACACATGAAGGAAAAGCAAAACTCCAAAACAGCAGCATAAATTCTTTTTCCTCTTTTCCCTGCCACAGTGCTTTGGGGCTTTAGTGGCCAAGTGATATTTTCATAACTGTGCTGTGAGAAGTCTGCTATCACCATGTCTTTTCCTCCTTTTCTTCCTCACTGCTGTCGGGAAAGTGCTTCCATCAGCTCTGCAAGAGACCTCTGAAATTTCTGCTAGGGCCTGAAGCTCACTTGTAAATCAGTAGAAATCAGGCATCTGAATAGCTTGGATAATCTGTGTTCTATCTAACACTGTCATGTGTATCATGGTGTATAGTATTTGCTTAACAAGAGATTATGAGAATACACGAAATTCATTAAATTCCAAAGTGCAAAAGCATTATGGTGATGACAGCCATCTAGTGAAGACTGGGATTTAACCCCTCAAAAATCTAATTAGCACATTTACTAATTATTACTAGTTATAACTAATTAAACTACAGTAATCAGAATTTATTTGATTAAATATTCCGATTTTGTGTTTGTAATACGATAGCAGCCCAAATGATGCTTCCCATTGAGCACTTGGCTGCACACACCCCGATAGGTGCAAATCTCTAAAACTCTTCAAGGGTTTACAGCATGCTTAGGGCTTTGGCAAAGTGCAAGGCAATGGCAGAGGGAAGAAAGAAGGGAAATAAAATATCTTTAGTCCCCGTGGCTTTTAGGCTGTACATGTTGATGGCTCCAGTCACTGAGTACTCAGCCCAGCTGGGCAGAGGTATCAGGACTGGCTGGCTCTTTTCCCACAGAAAGGCACTGCAGGACTCCTTGAAGGTTTTGGGTTTGGTTTTCTTCTTGTCACTTGAGTTAATTCCCAAAAATCAGTATCTGGAACTGAGCTTTCAGCCTTCAGTGTGGACAGGCAGGATCCTGTGGTGGTTCTGTGCTGTTCTGCCCCCCACCCTGCCCCATCCCGCCTCTTCCTGTGGTTCTGCCACCGCTAAAACATCCATTTGCTTTGTCCTCATCATTCCCATACACCCAACACATCCTGTCTACACTTTTTCCTTCTATATATTCCCCATCACGTATGTTTAAGTTATACAACGTGCAAGTCTGTCATCTGAGTGAGTCAAATTAATGCCTTTCTTGCACTGGTTTGTTTGGACAAAGGGGTGTTTCTCTTTAACGCTCCCATGAACAGCCTTAAGCATTTGCAGATTTTAATTTCAGGAGTGGTTCAGTGAAATGAACTGTCTTTCAGATAGGCATTCAGCATTTGTAAATACACTTTTTTTTTTTCTTTCTTTCTTTCTTGTAATAGCCCTTTACTTGCTGGTGCTCTGAGAAATGTCTTCTGCTCCTGGTTATCTTCTCAAATTCTGTCTCATCTGGTTTTACTTCACAGTAAAACTGGTCCCAAAGGGCAATGGGGAATAATAGAACACAGCTCCCTGAGACAAATCAGGTGCAAAGTTGATTCCTGGGGATAAATAATTAAATCCTGCCTTCAGAAATTACAGTAATGAAAAGAAAAATAGAAAGCCCATGAGGGCCAATGCTGACTTTTCCAGCAAAATATCCTGTTCAAAAAGCAAAATATTTTTAACTTGTTGAGTCTGCTGTCCTAAATTCAGTCAAGAACTCCTCTTTGTCCATCATCCTGCATCTAAAAATGCCTACAACTGGGTATTTCAGGATTAACTTCAATAAATTTTTTAGGAAATAATTATGTGAGAGAGTTACCCAAAATTTCTTCTTAATCTAATCTGCCAGTTTTTCTAAGTCTTGATGTACTGGATATTGCTCGGGAGAAGGCTTTCTCTGGTCAGTTGTAGCTATCTCATAAGTGTTTGATATTTTTGGGTTGAATGCATCTCTAAGAGGCAGAATAGCAAAGAAAAGTCATAGCTGAGGAATACATTCTGTGAATAAAACAATTAAAAAAAAATTCCAACCTTCCATTGTCCTCTCATTGTCTCATTATCAAAATGGGAGCGCAGAAAGCTGTGATTTCTCCCTTTTCTTAGGTGCAAAGGAGAGCAAAGTGTCCCCTTGTCTCAAGCCCCAAACCCTTGGGATGTGGGTGGTTTACATTCACGCCAGCCTTCAGTCACTGCTGTGGAATTCACAAATGCTGTGTAACCCCTGTTTCTGATGAAGGCTTTTTAGGTGACCCAGGATAAGCCATTCTGTTTATACTTTGATTTCTTGAATAAGGAAGGTGCCAGTTCTGCCTTCATTGCAAAAGCACTGTGGAGATACATTTAGTGATGTTCAGTCAATACTAACTGCAATTTATGTAGGGTCTAACAGGAAAGTTGTCAGCTGCCTCAAATTTTATAGATGGATAACACTTCTGAATTTTTTGGTATTAACTATTAGTGGCATGACTATTCTTGACATGCTCTTTGTTAGTGCAGTTGAAGATCCTCTGCAAAATATTTTCTTCTGCTTCTCCTGTCACTACTGTGAGTTTTCTTTTGTTGCTTTCTGGTGAACTTGAGGTATCCTCATTCTTCTCTAGAGGAAGAGATGACTAAGATAAGAAACTGCATTACAAAAGGGAGAACTGCTTCATCTAATGTTTAAAATTTGTCCAGGGTGTAACTGTGAACCGAACAATACCACAATTTAGCCGTAAAATCTGTGGAGGAGTTGGTTCCTGTTAAGTGTGAGCAGTATTAGCAAACAGAAGTATTAACACAGAAGTAGGTACAAAGAGACATTTCATGGGATTACATCTGCTGCTTACCCAAAGAGCTCTGGATTCCAGGCTCATTTTTAAGGTCTGTTTCAGTAAGAACAGAGTTATTTCAATGCGGTGTAGGGCTCAGTGGCACGGTCATTTACTTTTAGATCTGGCTCACATATTTCTATGAGGACCAGGCAGTCATGCGTGGTAATTCTTCACATTCCTGACATCTTTTTCATAATCCACTTCTAGAATGATGATAACTGCAATGAATAGGGAAGAAAGAATTTTAACTTTTTTTGGTGCCTGGAATTCATGTTTCAGTTTTAGTTGCAGAATCTATAGCATCAGTATTTTTTTTTAATTTTATTTTTTGATAAACCACAGTAACTCTATCTTAATTGCTAGCAGTCTTTGATGAAGAAGAGCCTGTAGTTGCAATAGTTATATCTAATCTTTCAGAGTTCTTTTGGGCATTACTGGACTTATGTGACCTTTGAAAGTCAGTGTGTGGAGTTAGGTGTGATACATGGAGTCAAAAAACATGAAAGTTGAACAAGTTCTCTCTGAAGTAATTCTAAATATTTTTTAATTGTCCTCTGGCAGATAATCTGAAGTCATCTTCCTTTAGTGAGCTGATTTGGAAAGGTTATTTGGGTTCTCACTATTCTGAGATAAATTTTCAGTATGTTTATCGAAAGTCTCAGTATAAATAGCACAAAATTTTTTTCTTTACTGTTATGTTCCACCTATAAGAAGAATTGGGAAAACCTCTGTGTGTTCAACAAGCTTTCCTCATATTTGGAAAATACAAAAATGGGAGATTTTATTTATTTATTATTATTATTATTGTTATTTTATTTAATTGTTTCAATGTCCCCTCATCTCAAAAATGGAATATTCATGTAGGGTTGTTTTTGCTATCATGTTCAGGTTCCATGAGCAGAGTACCTCAAACTTATCATTGTCCAGAGTGGGCAGGAAGGGGAAAGGATATTTGGTGGTTATTGTCCTTCTTTGCATTTTGCAAGAATTACTTCTACTCGTGTTTTGGCTCTGCTGAATAAAGTGGTGGTTTCTAAATCTTGGAATGAAATTCAGGACACACTCATTGTAGAATAACTTTGGGTTCTGTCAGTCTAAGGAAGAAGAATTTCCTCTGAAAAGATTTTGCCGCTTTCCAGGTGGAAGCTGGAAATATATATATAGTTTTCCCTGCAGTTTGTCTTTTCCTCCTGTGTTTGCATTCTGCTTTAGAGATTTAGCCACTGAGATGTTCGAGGTTTTTTGAGGAACATGTTGTGATAATTACAGTTAGCATGAGCTCCTCCCTTTCAGAATTGAGTTTTTGCCAAATAATGATATTTTGAGGAGAAAATTGATCACTTAGCAAAATTATTCTTTTATGTGGAATAAATGTTGCAGCTCGATGGGAAGATGACATAATTCTTCAAGAAGCAGTAGGCAGTAGACTTTAATTTCTGTGAAACACAGGGGACAGATTGCCCCAGTGCAAATGCTGTATTACTGCTAGCTGCAGGGGAGACCCTGCTGAGCCCACCAGCAGTCTCACAGCTAAATCCCATTGATTTTTGTAGGGACCAGTGCAGCCTCTGCAGGGCTCTGGGGGGATTAGAGATGTAAGATGAGTAAGCACAGGGGAGCAGCCACTATCTCTGCTTCAGAGGCAGAGTATGAAGCTATTGATTGTACACTTTGCTTTATTTGACATCACCCCAGTCCAGTTACTCCAGCTTTTGGGGATATCCACTCTTTGATCCTCCACTGTGTGGATGATGCCTCAGTCATTTGTGTGTTTTTAGTAAACCTTTATTTTTTTGTGCTGTGACTGTTAATAAGATACTTTTTGCTGGCATGGTAACCTTCTGTTCCTTGCTTGCCTGCATCTGTCCATTTAAGATACTTCAGAGCAGGACCTGCTGCTTTCCCATCTTTGTCTAATATTCAGCACTGTGAACTGAGGCTTCTGGATGATGTTTGATAGTCGTGACCCTGGCTGGACCCTGCTGAGGGGTTTTGTGACCCAGGAAGGACCTGGGATTGGGTTTTCTCTGTCAGGACCAGCCATTACCCACTGTCAGTCTGAGTAGAGAGCCAATGAAAATCCAGCCTCAGCATCTAAACCTCACTTCCCTGTTACAAAGCCATCCAAGCTGTTGGGTGCAGGAGGGAAATCCCCCCCAGCTCCAGCCTGTACCCCCCTGCAGTGACCTCTCCCCTGGAGGCTGCTCTTCCCCAGGTCTCTGTGCCTGTCATGGCTCTCAGTGCAGAGCCTGGGTGCCTCATCCAACCCTCAGACCAGGGTTTGGACACACCATTCCCTTACCTGGCAACTGAATCAAAGCTTCAGGTAGTCAGAATTTCTAAAGCCACAGTCACCCTTGAGACGTCTCTGAACGTGTTTCTCCTAGTGGTAGTTGGGTGATGTTGAATTGGGATTAAAGAGTGCTGGTAAACATAAAGATGTTTATCATACTGGTCCACTGTTTGATTTTTTTTTCTTTTTTTTCTTTTCTTTTTCTTTTTTCCCCTTTAGGATGAACGTGAAGCCAGAGAAAATGTGAAAAGAGAGCAGGACGAAGCGTACCGCATCTCACTGGAGGCTGACAGAGCCAAGGTGTGTGCTGGGGGAGAGACCCCATGGGATGGGAACCCTTTGGAGTTTGGGAATGCTCTGTGGTGCAGAGGACTGGCCTGCCTTCAGTTGTGCTCTGAACATGAGACCCTAAAATCCTCAGTGTTGTAAAGTGGCACCAGATAAAGTCACTAGGACTAGATTTGACTACATCTTTTAGCTAAGCCCATCCTGGCTTCATTTAATAATATCCTATCTCTTATATTAATTTTTATGGAAATGTTGAGAAATTTTTTGCATTTGTATTTATGACATATTTATGTGGGCTTGCCCTTTGTGTTTGTTAGAGGGAAGCACAAGAGAGAGAAATGGCAGAGCAGTTTCGCTTGGAACAAATCCGAAAAGAACAGGAGGAAGAACGTGAGGTGGGATGTTTTACCTTTTCTGATAACTTTGAATTCATGAAGCTTATGAGCACTGAAACTGTCATTCAATACACACTGCAACTTCAATTCAAAGCACACATTTTATGTGATCAAGTTTCCTTACTATTATTGATTTCTTACTATGTATCTGTGAAACAAAATGCAGCTAAATAATTTTCATCCACTGTTTAATAGGTTTTCTGTTTTATCATCAGGGTCTCAAATATAGCCAAGATATTAGATGGACCTGCTCACAGGAGATCTGTGAAATGAGCTCAATAAGTGCTGGAATCTTTGGGTGGCTCCAACCTATTTTATGCAGCCACTCCTTTTAAAAACACGGAGCCCTTTCATTTTTTCCAGGAAGTAGCACAAAGCCTGCCTGCAATTCTGATCTGATGTAATTTGGGAGACAATCCACTTATTAAAAAATTAAGAAAATAAAATCCAGAATCTTGACATTTGGATTTACAGTACTTCAAAAAAATTTCTGAACAGTCTTCTACAGGATCTTCCATAGAATGAAAATTGTGTTTTAACAAGCACTTTATGTGTCTAGGCCTCTGTAAGAAAACAGAACCTCTGCGCTGTGAAAGTACTGTTCCTCAAACTGCTATTTTGTATATTCTCTCAATTTTGTAAAGTCTGAGGGCCCCAGTGCCTCTCAGACATGGCTCCTACAGCCTCTTTCAGGATCTAGACAAGTTGTGAGATGGCAATTCTGTGAGGTTAATAGCAGCTGAACATGAATCCACTGTAGCAGGAACAGCCTCACAATCAGCTGACACTCAGGCTAAAGCAGGAAATACATTTTTCTTTTCTAAGTTATTTTGCATGCATAGAAACAGTAATTATTTCTGCCTCATTATATCTGCTCCTGAACCTTTTCTGATACCTTGGCCTTTTGGAAATGGTTTCCTTATGCAAAGGCTGCAAGACTGGTCCATGTTATCAAAATATACCTGGGCTTCCCTGTTTTAATGCAGAGTGCAGTAATGAAAATAATAGGATCTGTTTGCTTAGTAGAACAAAAGGGATTTTAACAATAATGTTTACTAACACTCCCCATTTTCAAGTATACAGATTACTTGGACTGAATTGTTTTGCAACAGTGTTTACTTACAGAAGTGGCTTTATGTTCGGTTTGTATTTTAAAATCTGACTGTTGAGCTCTTCACATACTGAACATCTTTTTATCAACAAACTGAAATTGCTTGTTCGGGTCCAAGAGTTTTTAATGTGATTCATCATGTCATTGTTTTCTGACTTGGTTTGCTGGTACAGAATATCCATTGTAAATTGCCATTTTATGTTGAAGCACAGGAGAGTGGTTACTTTGGCGAGCAACGCACTCTTTGCACAAAGGAAGGAGCTCTAATGAGCTACTGTTGTTTATTTTTCTATAATATAATTGATTGGGTTCAGTAAATAATGTAGCATCTGTTGTTATACTGTGTGGGGAAATGTCAAAACAGCAAGACAGTAAGCAGGTGGTTGAGAATGGAGAGGGAGAAAATTAAAATAGAATCTATTTAAAATATAATCTCATAGTAGATGAGCAAAAATGAACTCAAGTTCTATGTATAAATATTTATACTGAATATAATTTGCTCAGAGGTGTGTGTGTAAGAAGTAGACTATTTAAAAGCCTTTGTAATCTTGCTTCTTCCCAGTCCTTTTCCTGCAGTATAATCACCCTCCATCAGTTTCTGTTACTAAATGACCTTGGTGGGGGTTTTCAAAGGCACAAATAGCAACTGTGTATACTGAAAGTTCCTTGAAAATGGGTAAATCCCTGCCTGACTGTCTCTTCAGTTTGAAAAATTGTCTTTCAGGCACAGTTTGGGGCAGGTAGTGTGTTTGTGCTGCTTCTTCCATTCATTTACCTTCTTTTTAAGTGCTACCTTAAGTGAGGTGATATTGTAACAGAGCTGCTTCTGAGTATGATCAAATTTTTGACAGATTCTGATGCTGCCTGTGAGTACCAAAAATGCCCTTGAAAATCAAGCCCACCTCATTCAGCAGTCTAATGTTAGCCATTAATTTTATATTTAAAAAAAAAAATCTAATCAAAGGATTGGTGCTGTAGCAGCTCCCAGAGACAGAGGACAGAGAACACAGACCTGGGTCCTGCCCTTAAAATCTTGACATCAGCAATGTTAGCAGGAACACAGTCATGCACATATGACTGTCATGTAGTGGCATTGCAATTTGAGGGCTGATTTCACGCAAATTGTTGCAGAAAATGTGTTCATCTGTATTTGGAACCATCTTCTTGCAAATACTACTACTACTACTACTACTACTACTTCTACTAACTTTAAATCTTCAAGCCCCTGTTTCTGTTCTCTGAGTTTTCTGCTTTAATTATTCCTACTTTTATATGTACTCTGTGTATCTAATGGACATTCGTGGCATTTTTAATTGCATCTTTTAACAGTGTTTCAGTTTATTTATAGTAAATTTCTTGCATATATTTCTTTTCACTCTGAACTGCCATTAATGGTCCAGTCTACTGCAAATGGTCAATTACCATTGCAAGAGGAAGACAATTTGACAAGTGCTTTTAAAGAAATACTTTTACTGCCTTTTAATTTATACTCTTTAAGGAAGCAATTGGCCACTTGACAATTATTCTCTCATTCAATTTTTTTCCAAGGCTTTCTGCCAAATGATTAAATTACGTATCCCATCGTGCATTAACTGTAGACCTAATAATATGTGTTATAAAGAAGGATTTATTTTAATTAGTTGTCTGGTGGGCTGTTATTAAGGAGTGAATAAAAATTATTTTGTCATTGAGATATAAAGGCTCCGGAGCACTGCGACACATCTTGAAGTTCTAGAAGAAATAAAAAGAAAAGCTTTCTTCCCTTTTCTTCTGTTGCTGGCATTGCAACATGAAATGGTTGTTTTTGCTTCCCCAGGCTATCAGGCTCTCTCTGGAGCAGTCTTTGCCCCCTGAGCCGAAGGAGGAGAGCACTGAGTCCGTCAGCAAACTCCGCATCCGAATGCCCAGCGGAGAATTCTTTGAGCGGCGTTTCCTGGCCAGCAGCAAGCTGCAGGTTGTCTTTGATTTTGTAGCTTCCAAGGGATATCCTTGGGAGGAGTACAAGCTGCTGGGCACCTTTCCGAGGAGAGATGTGAGTAAATATACTTTTCAGCAATAAATACCTCTGCTTCTTGCTCCTGTGGGTTAGATGGGCTGGGGTGTTATGGCGTAGAAGGTGAAAGGTGTGCCTGAGTATGCTCAGGTGCTGCCAAGCTCTAAGCCAGCTGCTGGCTGACCAGTGCTGTTACATACAGAGCTGTGAAACTTGCCTCCAGTGACATTGTGAAAAATTCTACATTTCAGAAAAAGCTGTGGACCATTTTCAATGAAAACTTGAATATGCTGAGCCAGCTTTGCTCGCATCCTTTTTTCAAGGGAAGCTCCATCAACACTGCTGGTAGTTCATGGTTTAGGTCCGTTATGGGCTGGTACTTCTGATCTTTCTGATTTTGCCATTTGGATGCAAATTTACGTTATGAACAAGGCTCAGCATCAGGTAGCACTCAGTCATGAACTATTAAGTACATCCTAATAAATATTTGATCCATCTGTTACATAATACCAGTAGATAATTACCTCTCCTACCTTGAAATTGTATGATGAACCTGCTGTGGCTGATTTTCAGAATCAATACTGCTCACTGCTTACAATAGCCAATTAAATTCTGTTGATCAATCAACAGATAATTTTTGTGCTGGCTCCTGAATTTCTTTGAAAATCCACCTCCGTGTTTTCTGCACAAATTAGCTTTCATTACTTATTTAGTCATTGCTACAGCAAAGGTGAAAGTCAGTGGGTCCAACTGTGCAGGGGTTGAAAAAAGGTGAAGGGAATGGGCATTGCAGAGATGTCAGGACAGAGCCAAGCAGTGATGGGTGAAGTTCAGCAGTTCTTTGGCCATACTGCCTGAGCATTGCAGAGGTGTGGGGCAGCTCTGGACCAGCTGGGGTCTTGTTTGCTGGAGGCATCTCCAGGTGACTGGTTGGGCCCTTTTTCACCAATGGAGTTCAGTAATTTGGGTTGCTTTTCCATTTTGTTTCCCATCATTGCCCCTGGAGGAAGTTCACTGGGAATGAGGCTCTGATTGACATGTTTACAGTAGTTTGTAACAGATAACATCTTGCTTTATCATCTTATTTGTAAGTACTCCAAAGGAGAAGCAGCTCATCCTTAGCAAACATACAACCTTGTGAGTGAATGTGCTTTCTGACCCATTTTTGGCAAACTGTGAACAGGATTGCAGTGCTTGCAGCTCTTCTTCCACCTTGTCCTGGGTTGGGAATCCTAATCAGTCAGACTGAAAAGCAGCATTTAAGGAATCACATTAATCACTAATTGACTTTTCTCCTTAAGCATGCAGTATCATTTCCAGTGGAATCAAAGACTAGAAGTCACCTGTGTTCCCAGGATTACTGATGGTTCAGTGTACTTGACAGAAGAAAAACAGTGTTTTACAATCTAAACAATGGGTTTATGCATTTTAAATATTTTGCAAGTCATGCCTCCCCACCTGTAACTTATTTCTGATGTAATACATATTTAATATAAAAACCCTACAAGTATATTACTCTTAACTTTTTTAATTTGTTTTTCACTTTACACTGGCTGTTTCTGTACTTATTCACATCATCATCATTATGAATGTTAGTAGTCTGTAAAAATCTCAAAAATTTATCAGGTGAATCACATAAGAACAAGTTTTAAAAAGAGTAGAAAAAAAAAAAAACACTAAATTAGTATTTATTATCAGTATGTCCATGAAACTGGCAGGGAGAAAAGGAGGCAAAGAAAGGAGAATTTAATGGCAGTGTCTAGAGCTGTTGGTCTGTTGTGTGGGAAGCAAAGACCCTGTCATCTTTTTTCTATGATTCCAACCTAATAATGCCATGTATGAGGAGTCACATAAATGATTCATGCTGATTGACTCAGCCATGTATGAATCCCGTTGCCATTGTGACCACCAGAGCTAAGACAGACAAAAAATATTCCCCAGGGGTTTGCTAACCACTGAGAACTGTAAATGACATCTGTCACGTTCCCCAGGTTTGGAAAGTTGGAAGCATGCAATTCCACAGACATTTAAAAAAAAAATAAAATAAATAAGGCATTGTTGAATGGCTTGGAAGAAGTACAGTCAAAATATATATTCATTACCTTGGGTTTTGTGGTCTGTAGTCTCTTAGAAATACACTGAGTTATCAAGATCCTTCTGCTTTATGGTATGTTACAAACATGAATAGGAATCTGTGCTCCAAGGACAGAGCACTTGGGATGCTTGTGCTCCAGAAAACAAGAGCATTTAAAATGTCTGTATTTCAAGTATACATAACATTTTTGAAAAAAATATATTTGAAAGTATCAGAATTACTTTGCTGGAGTTTTGCTGCAGTATGAAAACATGTCTTCTAAAGTTAGGTTGTGGGGTTTTTTCTATCCTAATCTGCTTTACAATAACATACACACTCCCAAAAGTGTTTCTGTCTTATCAAAACAAGGGGATTATCTCCATCCAGGTCAACATTTTCATGTGATAAACTTGTTAGAGCATTTTTACCTGCTGTTCAAAGCCATCAGTCCTGATACAGTGTTGCTGAAGCATTTTTACGTCTTTCATAAATAAAAATTCATTAGTTCTTAGTCCTGTGTTCCAGTTGCTTACACAGATATCCTTAGCTAACTTAAAGTTGGTATCATAACCCTCCTGTAAATACAAACTTCTACACATGAGTAAATACACAGATTAACCTTTTCCAGACACTACTTGTAGATTTTAAAGCAGCAGTGACATTCCAAAGCAGTTAAGCACATGCAGTGACTTGTTATTGGGTCTTTGTCACTCGCTGTGTTGTTCTTTCTCCCCGTGCTGAAATTAGATATTAAGCAGCTCCTCTCTCAGTACCTCAGCACCACATCTTGTACCACCAGTGTGAATCACAAACGTGGGCTTGGGGCAGCGGGGAGCTCGTGCCTCAGACTCTGGGAACGTTGGCAAGCACATCTTTGGGAGTGAAAAGCTGTATTGTATTTCTTGGCATTATTCTTAAATACACCTGCAAAGGCTCCATGGGAGCAAATGTGTGCGCTGTTAAATGGTGCTCTGATTTCAGAGTTCTAGTTCCCTTTCTTCCAGAAATCACATTTTACTATAACAAAAAGAGCTTATTCTATGTATATTCATGTGCTCAGTCTATTCCTAGTTCAGTATTTAAGTCCCTTTCTCTTAAAAGCTTTCCTCCAAACCCTTCCCTGACTTTAGTAGTCCTCTTGACCTCCCAGCTGCAAATCCTCCTTCTCCCAGTGCTTTGGAGACCTCCAGATAACCAGTTCCTCACTTACTTCAGTGCTGGTGACGTGCACAAGTCTTCCTAAAACCATTAACATCTTACAGGGTGGGCATTTTACCCCACTTAGGTAAGAAGCTGAAGTGGACCAGGTCTAGTTGAAACTATAAGAGGAATGTGCAGAAATTTACCCAAACTGGGCTTCATCCCCCCTACCAGGGTTAATATGTTTGTGAATGTTTTATGGTGTCTCTCAGAAAGGGAGGGCCAGGCATGGTTCCTCCTTCTAAAAGCTGTATTTGAAAGAATGAATTTATTAATTTCTCATGAAAAATCAAAATTGCAAGCTATAATTTCTGCTGCTGATTTCTTCTTGAGGTGGAGCATTAGTTATGAATTTGAGAGTATGCCTTCTGCAGACATGGTATTAGAGACTTAAGCTCTTTATTTACTGTATCTGGAAGCCTTGGTAAGCCAAGACTTCTACAGTATTTCACATTTTATTTTTCTGAGCCACAGCTTAGGATCAGGTGGCAGTTAAGTCACTTAAGGTTATTTAAATGCATCTAAAATGTTGCTTAATAATTCAGAACCAGTTTGCTCTGTTTAGAGTATTAAGATTTTTTAAATCCTTTTAATTAACCAATTTCAGCAGCAGTTTAAATAAACAGAAACAAAAAATCTCCCTTGAAAGGGCAGAAAATAAATTTAACTCAAATTGCATGTCAATTTAGATCAAAAATGATCAGGATTTCAGTAAATTTAAGGCCAGGAAATTCATAGTTTTAGGAGTATATGGGAATATAGAGTAAGATATTTCTCCAAACTCAAATGTGATTGTTCATTCCTGTGCTTTGGCAGGATTAATCCTCTTTGATGCTCACAGTGGTGAAAATAATGCCACAGGATAGTAAGTTTAGCTGCAGCACTTGGTATGGAGTCCTCTGAGCAGGGAATTACCCTCTGATGTTCTCAGATAGGTGATGTTGGAGCATGGTCCTTATATTGTTATGCCAGATAGTTTGACAGTTTTGTATATGAGTTCTGGCAGCTGTTCTTTGTAAGGATAATTCTGAATTTCACCCCTGCAAACTACTGCCTTCAGATAACTTACTTTTAAACTCATTAGGTTGTGTTTAAACTCTAAATATGAGTTCATGAAAGACTGACATGTCCAGGACCATCTCTGACTTTTAACATTTTTCCCCCTAATCATGATCTTGATAGGAAAATGGAAGAAAGATGTTATTGGGATAAAGGATTTATGCAGTGTCACAGCTATACCCTATAGTGGTTTTAGTAATTTCATGTAAATCAGGAAAGTACCTTGAATATATCTGAATAATTTTATAGCAGAGGAGAATTTCAAATGAATGAAATATTTTTTCCTGATAAGTTACAAAAATTTTGAGAATTACATGTGATACCTGTCATTTTTCCAGTCATTTCAGTTACTGATATTTATCTTTCCCAGTACACAAAGTAGTAGTCATCTCTCTTAATTCACATAATTTAATTTTTTCTGGTCAGTGGTGTCATGTGCTTACTCTGATCTAGTTTACATAAGGCCACAGCCATCTACAAAGAGGAGATATCCCTCCTCCTATCATTTACAGCTTTCCTTAAGTCAATACTACCTGCCCTTGTCTTTCCTCTCCTGTCAAGATCTGTTGGTATTTTATTTATTCAAACAGTTAGGTTTGGTTTAGTTAAGACACTGAGAAGTTGCCTAAGCAAATTGGCCATTCCAGACTGGCATATTCCCATGCCTCTTTTGAAGCCTGGTTTCTTACTGTTCTTCCTGACCACT